GCCTAGGGAAGTTGTGAAAAGGGTGGATTCCCAAAGTGAAGGCTTCTTAGCTTCCTCCCTTAGGCCTCTAGTCCAGTCAGGGAATGGTGTGCCCTAACTGAAGGGGACCCCAAAGGCAGTCACAGTCCATTCTCCATTTCCCTTTCAGATTCTGAGAGGAGCCTGCCCTACCAATGAGGAGGCACCCCCCCGAGGTGTCCTTCCCCACGTAGGGCAGGGAACAGATTGGCCCAGGCTGGACAATAGGTGGTCCTCTACCAGAAGATGGAGTGTCCCACCCAGGGCCCCAGTTCTGCCCTGCCGTCCTGAGATGGGCAGCCCACCTGTGGCTCCAAGTCAGCATGAGATGCAGAGAGCAGTTGGGAGGGGCCCCGAGGGTTGCACATGGCAGAAGAGGCCTGATCCATGCTCAGAAAGTGTGGATGTCACTAGTCAGACTAACCCCAAAATGCTATTGGCTGTTTAGGTCATTCTGGCTCCTGTGTCCTAGAGGATGGGGATCGGGGTGGGGGTTAGAGATAAAAGAAGGACGGAATAAAGTGTATGATCTCTTTTTGGCCCCTTCAACTGAAAGCTGCCTCTGATTGTACACCTCTGACCCTGATACGTGAGATGCGTGAGTCTATGTGTATGAACCTCTTTAACATGACTTTCTACACCTATATATGGTCTCGTTTCGGAATATGAAAGGCATAGCTGACATTTTTTTTTCTGTTTCTACCCTTTGTGTGTTAGACACTACAAACACGGATTTAGGGGAAAATACTGTGAAGACACATTTCTCTGTGCCAATATTAAATTAAAGCAATATTAAAAATGCCTTTGAATGTGCTAGACAATTTTGAAAGAATATTTATAAACTCTTCTTGGGAACACGCAGTACTCTGTCCTCCCCTAGCCCCATGAGGTTCCCCACCCTCAATGCCTCCTACAGCCAGGTCCCCCAGTGAAAGGTCCAGGCCCAGCCTCATGGAAATGAACTCTAAGCAAACCAAATTTCAGAGCAGTAGTGCTAACAATATGTGTCATGTTACTGATACTCTTATACTCAGTAAAATAAAAGACTATTAAGGTTGTATGCATACACTAGAAACACGCTGAAGGCAAAATTAACTCTCTCTCTCTCTCTCTCTCTCTCTTTGTTTCTCACTCTCTCTGTCTCTTTCTTCCTGTAAACACTAAGCTGGACATATTTGCACAGTAATGTAAAGGGTACTTGCAGAATATAGAACTATGTAGACAATCAGTAGTTATTTTCTATGGATGTGTTGTGTGTTATTTCAGGCTACCAAAACACTAAATTTTGAAAAGAATGGCATGTTCTATATAATGCTTCTCACAGCAAACAAGCCTGTTAAAGAACAGTGAATATAATGCAGACACATAAATCTATGATGTGTGTGTATGCATGTATATGTGTGGTTGTGTATGTATGTGTGTATATATATATGTGTGTGTGTATATATATATATTCAACCCCACTAGACACACACACATATACACGTGTGCGCACACACGTATACATTTTTAAAGCATTCACAGATGGTAAAAAGTCAAACTTAAATGGGAATCTCATCTCTGTTAACTAAGCCTGTAACTCTGGTTTCTTTCTAAATTTGCTTACATTCCAAATTGGGGTATTCTCTCCTTTATGTGTTTTCTGTCTCCTACTTTGCCCATCGTCTGCAGCCATAAGGTTCTGGTGGGCCTCTCACTTTCAAAAAAGGTGGGCTGTAGGCAACATCCTTAGCAAACACTCCAGTTGTCTTTGACCATCCAGCCCCCTGCATCGGTCCACGGAGTCTCTCCAGCAACGTCAGGGGAAGCCATACTCCCTGCTGGGCCCCCTCTCTAGACATTACTTTGAAATAAACGATATGATTGAGTTTGGCATAGGATCACAGCACTACTCATAATCCGAATGTTGAAATGTTTGCATCTGCCCACGTAACGCCTTGGTGTTATAACCACAATACAGAGCACTGCATTTTTAGAAAGGCCGTGATTTTTTAAAAATAAAACATGTCACATTTGTGAATGCAAGATAATTAGAAAACTGCTTTTAAATAAAATTATTAACCTTTTTCCTTCTCCTTTATTTACTCCATATTTCCTAATGTCCCCCAAAAGTATTAATATGCCACATGGTGGCTTTTCTCATCTACTATAAGAGGAAAGGCAAAATAGTTGCTATTCTTTTGTGATTGATGTTGGCATATTAATCATTTATTGAGTGATTTTGTGATCTCTTACATTATACAACACCCTGCTTTATAAAATTGTAGCCTCGAATAGGATTTTAGTTCTTTATCACTGAATTCATAAAACTACCAAGTGACACATAACTTGAAGTCATATAGTCACAACATTTTCAGAAAATATTTTTTTATTGAATAAAAAACCCAGTAAAATTAGCCATCTTGGAAGTTCTATGCCCCCCACCCCTATTTTAGGAATGTTTATTTGATAAATTTTAAAGAAACATCAAAAAAGGAAAAACACAGATAGTCAAAGGGGTCTTTGATAGCTGTTATATAATTTTTGACCTCATATTGCATTTCATATGTATCTCAAATGTGATTTGAAAATAAATTTATAAAATATGATTTTGTTACATAATATCTGCAAAATGATAAAATAACCACCTCCAAACTTCAAATTTCAAACTTAACTAAGGAGGCCATAGTGGATACAAGAGCCAAAGGCTAATATCACAAAATGGACCATTTCATCAAGTCTCCTTAGCCTTAGACCTAAAGGAACCCAAATCTTAGTAAACCAAGAGAAATCTAATGACAAATGAAGAATGATGCTTTTTTTCTATGGATGTCTTCCAGTAACTATCCTCCCTGTTTCTAACTACAGTAAATAAATACACAAGAGGATAGCATGTATTGGGCCATATTATATTATAGATGAGAAAATCACCATGTGGCATATCATTAACACCATTTTGGGGGTGTTAGCCAATGTGGGGGAAAGAAAGTACTAAAAACTCCCCATTTCCGTGGTAATTACTCAATAATCCCTAGAATCTTGGGCCAGAACATAGCATGTTCCACTTCCCATGTGGCTGAGAGTCCAGTAGCATCTAAGTTTTGGGAGTAAGGGACCATGGTGGTTTCCTTCATTTCTGTGACCCCCAGTGATCAGAACAGTTCTTACCACATAATAACCACTCATTAAAATGTTTATTAGATGAATTCATGGACTAGGAAGAAGGACCAAGAAAGTAGTGGAAAGAAAAGAACCTCCATGCATTGCTTATTGTTAATAGCATTCTTTATACGTATGTAGAGGATTAAAACACCAAATTCCTCTGCTTCTAATCTGCCCTCATATTCTTTCTTGAAGTTAAAGATATTTTGGATTGGAAGACATAGATAAAATAAGGACTGGAATAGGGAATTGCAGTCCAAGTGAGGTAAAGGGTTTGTAAGAAGGGATCTTTCAAACTGCAAATGAGGTCTTAGCTTTGGGCCTGGACAAATTATATCCTGGAATCCAAAAATAACGTATGAAGGACATTGTGAATATGTTGCAAGACATTCTGAGCAGCCACAGGGTAGCACAGAGACAGGATAGCTCAGAGGAGCAAGTGCAGTTCTGACTGTGCTCAAGAGGAAGCTGGACGTCAACCTGGGTCAGAGGTGAATGGGTCAGTCTAGGAACAAGAAGTAAAGGGGCGGCTATCTCTGGTGTCTACCTGGGCTCCTCACAAACACAGGTTGGGTGAACTTCGTCTTTTGGGACAAGATTACTGATTTCTAGATAAGAAAAACAGCGTAGACACAGTCAATGTCTGCAACACACTGGCAAATATCACGTTCTTTTCTTCTGGGCGTGAGGAAAGCACATAGATGGCATGCTATTGCAATTGAGATGCCTTACTGGGGTTCAAAGAATATTGAAAGACAGTTCCCCAAGGATATGAGCCATTGGATCAAGGCCAAGCTGGAATTTGTCATCACTAGGATGTGGGCACTGAGGTAATACTGTCCACATTTTTGCCTGGCATAAGGCTTGATGTGATTTCCGTGGATGGTGAGACCTGCATCCAAAACGTCCTTGTGTTGTAGACAATGAGCTGAATAGAACACAGCAGCATTTGCCTGGGGTAGATAGAGCCCTGCACAGTCCCAGTGGTGCATGGGTGGATGTGCCCAGGGTGCTCCTTGATGCTGAGATAAAGGTGTCCCCAAGGGTCATTGCTTTAACAAGTGCTGAGCCGTGCCAGATTGAATCATTGCTAAAACAAGGATGTTGCACTGCTCAGATAGTAGCTAGAACGTGGTGCTTGATCCTACATTCTGAGTGTAAAAGGGGCCAAAAAATATTCCAATAAAAAATAGGCAAACATAACTCAAAAACAAATCAGGACTTTGTAATATAAGACAAGATCTGAGAAAGCTCAAAAAAGGGGGAAAAAAGACTCCCATTATGTGAAAATATTTTGTAAAAAATATATTGACTTAGTTCTGTGCACCTCCAAGAGTTAGAAGCAATGAATGGAAGACACAATGAGGAATTTTGGCCTAAACAGGGAGAAATAATTTAAAAAGCTCACTGAGGATAAATGTACAACTTTAGAAGATATGTTTCCTGTTATTTATAAATGTTTGAGAAGTGACTGAAAATACCATATTGAAACATCATTGAAAATGATTTAAACGTTGGGTCAGTGTGTGGGTTAGCTCTGCACTTTCCAATAGGGTAGAGCACGTGGCCACTGGACACGTGAAATGTAGTGATCCACATTGAGGTGTGCCTTAAATGTAACTGACCCACCAGATTTCAAAGACTTAGAATAAACAAAAATAAAATAAAATACTACATTGGTATGTTTTTAATTGATTGCATGTTTACTTGATCACATGTTAGATGAATTCGGTTTCATGAAATCTATTAAAACAGTCGCACTATTTTTTGTCTTTACTTCTTCTGGGACTACTAAAATATTTGCAATTACATGTGTGGTTTGCATTCCTTCTATTCCGCAGCACTGGTCTAGATCCCAGCTCTTCAAACTGGTTCTTGGATCCGTAGCAGCAACATCATCTGGGAGACTGCAGAAAATGCGGATCATCCACCCTTGCGGAGACCCATAGAATCCGAGGCTGCATTTTCACATGGATTGAGTAACACTGGTCTGGATGATCATTGCTCTCAAACAATTTTTAAAGCCAGGAAATCTTTTATTCAAAGGAAATCTAAGTGGAAGAATGCTACAAAGATACTCAATGGTGGGATGCTCTGCTTTTCAGGCCTTATGACAGGGAAACCTTAGTCCTTCTGAGGTGCCTTTGTCGCCCTCCACAACTTCACCCTGGTTTCTGCCGTCTTGAGTAAGGCATAATTGGAAAACCCCTGATCTAGAGTGTCTTCAGAGTCTCGAAGCTATACGGACACTATAAATGCACAATGTTTCATAATTCAGACCAGCCTTCAAGTTTATGAGAAGCAGAATAGCAACCTTTGCCATGACTATAGACATATTAGTTTGGTGAAAACATAATTGCAGTTTCTGCCATTACTTTTAAAAAACCGCAATTACTTTTCCACCAACCTAACAGTTTCATGGTGCCGTCATGAACTTGTCTGGGCCAGTGGCTACCAAACTCGTCCAATCATCACAATCATTAGAGAATGTTCTTTGAAAAATGAAAATCCTGTGGAATCAGAATTTCCAGGGGAAGTAAGCTGGTAGTCTATTTATTTAACAGTCTCCAGGTGAATTGAAAAGAGTTACAGGAAATTCAGCTACAACCTTCAAAAGAGCAATATCATCTTTCTCAAGAGATGCTTTTTGACTTGAGCTACTCAAATAAATGCTTCAACTGTATACCTTTTAGTTAAACCCAGGTTTTTGCTTTATATTTCTAACTATATTCTCTTAATTTCTACAGAATAAAAGGTGCTAAAAAACACCTAATGTTATCAATTTAAGAATATTCCAACTCAAACTAAAAACTTCCCATCCTATTATGAATAATTTCCTCATAGAAATTGAAGTGAAAGATTTATTGTTCCACTTTTTATTTAAAAAGGACTTGTTTTTGCTTTGTGCTTGTGTGTGTGTGTGTGTGTGTGTGTGCGTGTGCACATCTGTATGTGTGAGGGGGCAGTCTTGAGTTGGAGAAATATTGTGTATTGTCCTAACAGATTTTTTAAAAGATTTACTGTAAAATGCAAAGATACAAAAGACTTTTACATTTATACAGTAAATTAGATTGACATCCATTGTAACTGAAAATGAGGAGGTAAAATGGACAGGAGGAAGGAATATTCTTCCTGCTCCCGGACACGGAATCATCCACACACTCTGTGCTGGTGGCCTTACTTCCCCTGTGTGGCGGGAACTGACTTGTCTTCTACTTGTCACCCACCAGAGACCCTCTATGAAAATTGTGTCTTCATTTACATTTTATGTTATCAAATTGTACCCAGGAGCTGAAACAAGGACATAGCTACATGCAACAGCAGGAAGAAAACGCATTTCTAAAAAGTGTGTGTCCTTGAGATCAGATGCCTGTGGTCAAACGGGTTTGGTGATGCAGTTGTGATGACAATGGACCATTTTCCTAACAAGCAAAATCCATAAAACCCATCTGGAGATGTTAATATGCAGTGAAAAACAGATTCTTTCTGGTTTGGTTAACATGGTAAAAAAGAGTTTTTTCAGAACTATTGTGATAGGTGTCAAAACTATCACCATGGGAGAGAGAGGGGGTTCAGCCACAAACACAGCAAAGTGGGGATCAACAGCCAGCAGGGGAGTGGGGGGTCAGTGGGTGGAAGATTACCAAGAAGAGGTATTAAGAGTCGGGAGATTCTTGCTAAACCAACTTAATAGGATTGTTGCTGAAGGTAGGCCAGGGTGAGCAGATAGCAAGGGTGATCAAACATTAGAGGGAGGGGATTCTCACCAAACTGGCTTAATAGGATTCCGACCACAACTGGGCTGTCTCTGCAGGTCCCACAAGGGCAGGGGCCAAGGTCAAAGAAGGCTCCGAGGAACCTCAGTCCAATTTGGTCCAGGAAAGTCTTTGCCAACATTCATTGTGAAAACCCACATGATTTTATACAGAAAGACCCAGTGCTATGTGTTAAGGATTGGACACAAAAATATTTTTACTGGCTGTGATGTGGTTGTGTTAAAGGACTCAACTATTCCAGATAATTTCAAAGGTAAGTAACACAGGTAGTAAATGAAGGGCTGACTCGAGGGAAAATGAGACCAGTGTGCACCTCCTGGAGGGGATGGCCTCTCTGCCACTTTCTCCTAGCTTTGGTTTTAACCACACAAAGAGAGGATGCTGCTGTCAACCAGCACTTTAGCAGCCACACACAAAGCCTGTGAGCAGAGCCAGCACGGCTTCTTGTTGCAGAGAGAGTTCTGCAGAAGGATAAGTCAGTCTTCTCCTCTTTACATCCTTCGTCTTCTTTCCTTTAGGAGCTTGGTGGCCGAGGTCAGCTAAGCTCTCTACCTGAGAAAAGGTGCCCTTCATTTCCCTCAGAAAGCTAAGAGGGAGCCAAGAGTTAGGGGGCACAGAGTTGACCCCTTAAGCCCACCTCTGGCCCAGGCCTCCTTAGCGGCTCATGTGGGGCCTATTCCTCCTCCACACAGTGAGGAACCACAGGGAGGTGTTGGGGTCCGCGTGTTTCCTAAACAAAGGAATGAACACACAAGACAACACAAGACAAGACAAACATGGCGGCCGCCTCGAATGGCGCACTCCGCTTTATTTTATACAGTCGTTTGTGGAATGTTGCCAAGTCACAAGACACATTGTTGTTTTTCTGACCTTTCCCTGACTTTCTGGATTTTCAAGATGTTTACATATAAACAGGCCCCCAACGCCCTGCTTCGTTTGTGAGAGCAGGACTTATGGGGAATGCCCTGCTTCGTTTGCGAGAGCAGGACTTATCGGGAACACCCTGTTTGTGAGCACGTCGTCCTCTACAGGGAGGCTTGGGAGCCAAGTACATACCTGCCTGGAGGGTCCTCAGGACGGGAGATGTTCCCTGTATAGCCGTGAGCCCATGGTGGCAATGGGCAGTGATACAGTTTGAATGTTTGTGTCTCTCCAAAATTCACATCAAAACTTAATTCTTAATGCCGTAATATTATTAAGACATGGGGCCTTCAGGAGTTGATTAAGTCATAAGGCTTCTTCCTGGTGAACGGGATTAAGGCCTTTATAAAAGGGGCTTCACATGCTCTTCCTTCCCTTTTTTCCTCCAACCTTCTGCCATGTGAGGGCACAATGATTGCCCCCTCCAGAGGATGCAGCTGCAAAGCTCCATCTTGGAAGCCGGGAGCAGCCCTTGCCAGACACTGAATCACTTGGCTCCTTGATCTTGGACTTCTCAGCCTCCAGAACTCTGAGAAATAAATTCTATTGTTTATAAATTAAAAAAAAAAAACAGACAGCAAGGCTTCCAGGCATGGCCTGCCCATGTGCGATGGCCTCTCCCGGGGCCCTGGTGCCCACACCCTGGGCTCTACAGCAGCCCTGAGAGCATCTGGTGAGTGGTGACTGCCTTCTCCAGAGGACCACAAACTGTGTTAGCTTGAATTACCAAATTTGACCTTGTGTACAGCCATTCCCCCAAAGGGTTTAGCATTTTTATATCATCATCTCCCATGCACCACTCCTCACGTGCTTTGTCCCCATTAGGTGATGGCCAAATTCTCAGTGGATGTCATCTGAAGATGAATGTGGCTGGCCCCTTGGCTTCTTGGCTGTAATCTGAATATTGTTCAACTCAACTGGAAATATCAGGAATGAAGAGTCAGCTGGGAGAATGGGAGACAAGCCAGCAAGGGTTGTTTCCTCGGCAGCTTCCACAGGGCTGGTGGCATGCATAGCCTTTGCTGCTAGAAGATGTGGGGTTTTCCCTCCTGCATTGGCTGGGAAGGAATAGGGCAGGTAAGTAGGTGGGAAAGGAAATCAAGCTCAGATGGTATTGGATTTGAGAGCAGTAAATCAGCACAGGCGGCATCAAAACCTTCGTTTGTGGATGCAGACAGCACTGGCTTCCTCCAGCTGTGGCTGAGGCATGTGCCCTGCTGGGGCATGTGTAGGGAAGGAATCAGATGCAACACCTGCCCTTGTGGTTCACTGCGGCGAGAGAGCCAGCTAAGACGATCCTACGTCCAGGTGATAGGGAATATACAAGGCGGGTGTTCAGATAGGAAGAGTGAAGAATGCAGCCCCAAGTGGTCTGGGAAGTGCTTCCAGGGGAGGTCCCTTCAAGTGATGATGGAAAGAGGAGACAGTCACATGCTCAGAGGCACCGAGCTATGTCTGGGGAAAGAGAAGCTGCTACCTGGGATTGGACCCAGGAATAAAGTAGAGTGTTGGAGGACGGAGCCAAGAGAGGAGGCAGTGGCAAGACAATGGTGCTGAAGAACCGGTCACCATCTGGTGGCCATGGGGAACCAGAAGCCCCTTGAAAGATCACCTCTGTGTTTTAGATAAAGAACTGTTCTAACCAGAGACAGAAGCACAGGCTGGGGAGAAGAAAAACTAGACCCAGGCAAGCCATTAAAGGGCTTTTATAATGGACAAAGGCGGCCTAAGTAGGGAAATGGACCACGAGAAAGGAAATGAAGGCACAGAACATCAAGGGGAAAAGTCCTATGGGAAACAGAAAAACCTCAGCCTTTACTGCAGATAGGATTGAGGGAAAGAGAAAGATAAACATGACTCCTAGCATTTGGCATGGGCAATGGCCAGAAATGCAGGGTCAGGCCCAGGCTTGGGGAACATGGGGATGGGTTTTGGATACCGCGAGCATCAGGGTCTGGGGAATTACAAGGTGAGGGAACAGGAGCTAGAGACCTTGGAGATCTAGAACTGAGTAATCATCACACTCTATGTGGTCTTTGAGGAAAAGGGAGCCCAAGAGAGCTCAGAACCAAAGTAGCCAAGGACAGACCCCTGGGAAATTGCAAATGACCCTGCGGAAGAGGAAGTCAAGGAGGGGGCAAGCCTCAGCCTCCACTGGAGCCTTCAGAGCAAAGCCTAAGAGGTGGCGGCCCCGATGCCAAAGGGAGCTGGGAGAGGCTGGGAAAGTGAACCTGAGGGCACAGGTACCCCTTACAAAAGGCTGGCCACAAAGGGAAATGGAAGCATGCAGAGGTTTGAAAAGAAACCCATAGTGAGGAATACGGAAAGTATTTGCTCTTTGACCGTGGGTTTGCACTGAAGCATAATCTGAGACTGAGAAGAAGGATCAAATTAAGAAAGAGAACTGGAAGATATCAAAGAGGAAGTCGTCAGAGCTTATATACAGAAAATAATAATAATAATAATAACACTTCTCACCTGGTTTGTTGAAGATCAAAAGCTTAGATATTTTAAATTTTGCTTTTTCCTCTAGGACTTCCTCGATATTAAAGAGCAACTATGGGGAGAGGTTGAAAGCTCGTCCACATGCCACAGTTTGACAAAGGCATGAACCAAATTTAACACCAGCTTTAGGAACTTCTCCTGGATGGCTTACATGAGAATGTGCCTCCTCAGGGAGCTTAAATGATGAGAAAAATGCCTTTGCAATGGCCAGGAACATGGACATTTGAATGCAGGGGGCCTAGATTTGACACCCGTCTCCACTTCTCATGTGTGACCTTGGATAAAATCTTAGCCACTCCGTGGCCTCAATTTCCTCATCTGTAAAGTAGGGTGTTTAGTAAATGTATACCCCCAATGGGTTACTGTGTGGGTTACAGATAAATCTATGCATCCAACACTGTAGCAATTTTATTTGACTCATAAATATTAAATTAAACCCATAAATTTTGTGGTTGATATGAATGCAGGTTATGCATTCATTAATTCCGAGTTTTTACTTAGCTGGGACCCAGTT